TTCAGAGGCTTTTTTACATGTGTATTTTGGATACAAGTCCTTTACCTGATGTGTGATTTATAAATATTTTCTCCCAGTAGGTAACTTCTCATTCTCTCAACAGTGCTATTCACAGAGCAGAGTTTTTAAATTCAGTAAAGTCCAGTTTATTAGATTTGGGGGGGGGAATTATGCTTTTGGTGTTGTATCTAGAAACTCATTACCAAACCCAAGGTGGTATAGATTTCCTCCCAATTTTTTTCTTCTAGAAAATTCTGGAAAACACCCAGCCCTACCCTGGTGCTCTGTTAAGACTGTGTTGATCTGACTCCTCCATGAGAATAGGCTCCCCCTCCCTTAAATAATCCACAGAAATATGACCGTGAACATCTTAGAATGGATCCTGATTGTTAGGGGCTGAATTTGTCCCCTCGAGTCCACTGGTTGAATTTCTAGCCCCCGGAACCTCAAAATGGGACTGTATCTCCTTTCAAGGAGTGATGGAGTAAAAATGAGACTGTTAGGACGGGGCCTAATCCAACATGGTTGCTTCCCCTACGAGAAGAGGAAATTTGGACACAAAGAGACACCAAGGGATGTGCATTCACTTGAGAAAGACTGTGTGAGGACACAGTGAGAAGGTAGCCATCTACAAGCCTCAGGAGAACCCAACCCAACCCTGCCAACACCTTGATCCCAGACTTCCCACCTCCGGAACAGGGAGAAAATACATTTCTATTGTTTGAGCTACGCAGTCTGTGGTATTTTGTTATGGTAGCCCTAGAAAACTAATGCACTGGCACAGTGAAATTTTATGAGTATGGCTAAAAGATTCTTTCATTCAGGATGTGTTGAGAGCTGGGTAAGTGGCCTTGGCCAAGGAGAGCCAGGGAGGGCAGAAAGGGATTGACTGAGAAAACCCAGACATAAGTTTAAAACTGGCTGGTGTCTTTTCTCCGTGCCAAGTCCTCCTGACACATCCAGCCACTCTGGACGGAGTGGAAAGAGTCCAAGCTGGGCATCAATATCTTGCAGTCATGTCATGTCCTACTACCCAAAGCCTCTGAGTATATCTGCATGGTGCCCTCAGGTGACAAAGGCAAGGGGGTAGGTGACAGCCTGCTGGAGGGATGGAGGGGTTGGTCCAGATGATTGTCCATACCCATGACAGGAGAACTGAAGTTGACCAATGACATAATGGCATTTTGAGGGCATTTTGATGACTGCCATGGGGCCAGGTTATGGCTTTCATCAGCAACTTGGATAGTGTATTAGTTAAGGTGATTAATGCTAGCTGCTGTAACAAACACTCTCCAATCTCAGTGGCTTCACACTGTAAAATTTCATTTATCAGCTACATCACAGTCCAGCACGCGTTGGATGGCTCTCCTGGGTTGGGGTGAGGGCTTCCTCCAGGAAAAGAGACGGGGTTCTTGATCCATGTCTTGCACTGACATCTTAAACACGCGGTCGCTTCTCCAGAAGTCCCTGCAGAAGGGGAGGAGATTGCCAGAGGATTGTGCAAGAATATTTTTTTTTTTTAAAGATTTTATTTATTTATATGACAGAGAGAGACACAGCGAGAGAGGGAACACAAGCAGCGGGAGTGGGAGAGGGAGAAGCAGGCTCCCCGCAGAGCAGGGAGCCCGATGTGGGACTCGATCCCAGGACCCTGAGATCATGACCTGAGCCGAAGGCAGTCGCTCAACCAACTGAGCCACCCAGGCGCCCTGTGCAAGAATATTTTAAAGGCCCGGTCCAGAAGTGACCTACATTTCGTCTGCTCACTTTTTCAATACCCAGAACGAACTTCAAAGGAGCCTGAGATGTATAGTCTTCCCCTGTGCCCAGGAAAAGGAGGTACTGTGGCAAACACCTGATGTTGTCTCTACCACAGATAAGGACACGAATTTTCCTACCGGGCCAGCAAAAGTCGGGACGCTGGGGAAGACGGTGGGTGGAGACTCAGCCCCCACAGTCAGGGATGTTGGTTGTGACAGTCATTTCAATCTAACAGGACAGGAGGACAGTTGGCTTAGCAACAAACAGGGCAAGAGTTGGGGGGTTTTCTTGACCATGGGTCTGGTGTGAATTAAGGAGGGGGCTTGGTGGGATTACTCTTCGAAGGGGAGGGTGGCGTGAAGAGCAGCTTTTGGGACAGTAAATCCCACGGCCACGCCATGGGGAGTGTTAGCAGTACAATGGTGATGAAACAGCCACCATGTCCAGATCCAGACAGGCCTGACTCTCTGCTCAGCCCTCGGCACAGGTCTTGGGACTGAAGTTGCAATGCAGAGCTGGTCTGTGAGCCACATGCTAGCGGGAGCCCCTCCCAGCACCCTGCTTCCACAACAGAAGTGAGATCAGCCCTCGGAGCACCTCATCTTTCTTATGCTCATTTCCCTTTTGTACTGTTTTCCCTCTGGTCACATTAAAGTTATTTTATCTTGTTTTGTGTGTAAACCAGCTCCAGTCCTGCCTGGAATACAACAGGGAGATGTAAATAAATGGGGTGGCAAATAGTTTGTGATATTGAGAAGTTGCTCTTCTCATTCCTTTTATCCACGGCTCTTCCCCCATCATCAACGTCCTTGGTGGGGGAAGGGAGTTGTGAAAGGGCAGGTGCGGGGGGCGGGGCAGAGATTGAGCCCTGAAAAAGCCACCTTTCTATTTTTCAACCTCCTATGTAGACTTCAGTCTGTCTTTTGAAAAGACAAATGTCCGAAAGTCAAACTAGCTTTCTGGTGTCAAGTTGGGGATTTTGGAAAGGAAAAAATATTATTGCAAAAGCTTATGGTTTGCACTATAAACCAGAGAGTGGGACTGCTTGCACTGGGACTAAGAGCCTCTTGCATACCCAAAGAAGGGTCTGAGCGGTGGGCAAGGAGGGGAGACTCACGAGGGAGGCTTGGAGGAGCAGACTCACTGCCCCACTGGAACCTGGCTCACTGGAGCCAAGCTAAGTCCAGTTAGGGGAAAACAAAGAAGGTTGCATTCAGCACAGTGTGAACTCCTCTCAGCTGCGCAAGCTCCCCTCTTGGGGCCCCACCCCACTCTTGGGGAGCGCCATCAGAGTCAGGGGGATTAATGCCAGCTGCTGTGACAAACCACCTCACTGTTAGTGTGACAAACTGGGTATCCCAGACGCCTCCCCCCCGGTCCCCTTGCTTCGGACTAGTGTTCAGAACCGCTTCTGCCACCGCAGGCCCAGGGGTCCCCCTGCCCCAGGCTGCAGACTTTGTGGGCTATTGACGCTGCTAATTCTGGAGCTCCTGGTCAATGATGCGCCATCTGTATCAGGCTCTGAAGATGAGTTGCCCTGGTGGGTCACTGCCCCAGAGGAACCATCAGAAGCTGGTGGGCCGGTTCACTGTCAGTACTGATGATAGGATGAGGGGTTCTCCAGGGACATTTCGTGGAGCCCATGGCATGCTCATTCCAGGCCCCTCCTGTTCCAGCCTCCCTGAAGAGATTAGCAAACACTTCCTCTATTTGGCTTCCCTGGTGGCCCTCTTTCCTCATTCTCAAGGTGGGTTGGCCACCCTAACTTGGTCTTTGCCAGCTCCTCCTTTGCTTTGGGCCCGTGATATTGGAGAGCCTCTGCCTCTCCTCTCTTTACACCTTTTTGCTCATCCTAAGGAACTGCATCCGTTCTGGGTGACCTTGCAGCACTAGGGACTGCAGCTTTTGTGGCTAAAATTTCCTCCCCCTTCCTTTGAATATATATTTCCTTGACTCTACACCAGGAGCAGCTGCCAGGAAGGAATTTTATTAATAGATTTGCCTTTCTTCTGGAAACGAAGGACACCCACCACACACTCCTGCCATGTACTAAGCAGCTCGTGTTTTCACAGTGGCACTTTTCATTCATTCTGGGCTTCATCTAGTTTGGGGGGGCACTTTTAACATATTCCTATCATTCCAGATACAACAACTTATTAGATGCCCACGTACTGAGTGCCTACCCAGCATCCATACGCCTTTCTAGGATTACCAGGTCTGCATCTGGAATCTTCCTCTCCCCTGAGCAGCAGCTCCTCGTTCAGGAGAAACTGATCCCCCTCGAAGCTTTGGCAGGAGAGCCTCACTTAACTCACTAAATGGTGCATTCTGTTCCCCTGGCCCTGTCATTGGTTCAGGAGGGAGCCCGTGACTCAGGTTGGACAGAGTGAATTTCAGCACTCCTACTGGGAATGCCAGGGCAAACCTCCCCATTCCCCTCTCATTGGAAGTGATTGTGGAAGCATGAAGCCCCAGGGGTGGCTGGCAGCCATCCCACCACCAGGAGGAAAGCTGGTCTGGGGAACGAGGCTGATACTTGGGTGGCAGAGTGAGGTACAAAAAGAACCTTTGTCTTTGATGATGCCATTGAGCTGCTGATTCAAACCATTTCTGAAGCCTGCCCCATCTCTGAACATGACAGTGGCAGAGGCCAGGAAGTCTCCTTTGTCATTTGATCCAGTTTGAGGTGGGCTTACTATTACTTGCAACATAGAGAACTTTGATACCTCAAACCTCTTTTGCCAGAAATACTTCCCCCTTTGTTCTTCTGTATGGATCCTATTTGTTAACTATAATACTAGTGGCCAAAATTGATCCAATGCGTTTTACATGCCTGCCTTATCTCATTTAATCTTCATGACAACGCTTTGAGGTAGCTTCTGTTATGTGATGAGGAAATTGAGGCTCAGAGAGGTTAAGTAACTAGCCTAAAACCACACAGCTAGAAGAGATGGATCCTGGACTGAAATTCAGGAAGCCTGATTCCTGAGAGCTCATACTCTTAACCCCTACACGACTTCCCATCTAATATTCTCATTCTGAATTTCCTCCTGGAATGACACTCATGTCTGTGCTTCAGAGAGTCCAGTATCAGTCCCAATTCACTTAGTGTCCAGAGTGACTCTGGGACACTAACTGATGTAGGCAGGCTGGATCCGAGGACCCAGAGGGGGTCCCGAAGGACCAGCCAAGAGAGTCCTTGGCTTTGTGCAGGATAGAAATCAAATGCAAGCCAGGAGGAAGTGAGAGCAGAGTTTATTGAAGTTACAGAGAGAGCAGATACAGACAGAGCATCTTGGACACTTGGAATGGAAAAGGAACATGAGTCTCATCATTACTTGCAGCCTGGGGTTTTTACTGAGCATGGTGGTCTGGCATATGTGTCCTCTCAGGCATCCAGGAACAGGTCAAAACAAGGAGGAGTGCTCCGGTGTCCTCTATAAGTCACTTGTGCCCTGGAGCTAGGGGTCTTGGTGTCAAGGGGTCTGCAGTCAGCAGTCTTGGAAAATGTACAGAATGACCTCACCCGGTCACTTCATAGGTGTTATCTGTTGTGCTGGAAGACTCCAAAGGAATAAATTAACTCCTTGACCTTTATAAGAAGGACATATATCATCGGTACTATAAGCCATGTGTAGGACAGGAGTGCAGCTCCTAGCAAGAATAGGAGCAGGAAAAGGAGCAAAAAAGCAGTTTTTTTCCAGTTTCCCTGCCTCATTACCACGAAGTGCCATTCATTTCTTCCCCACAGCTCTGAGAAAGCATTCACAATATTGTTCCTTGTCCTTCTCTACCCTCTTTCTGTGTGGCTTACAAATAAACAAGTGGAGCACAAATTGTATACTTTATATGGAGGGGCCATCCTCCATCAGCCCACCTGTAATTTCTTGCTTGTCTGCCTTTTCTCCAGGTTCTCAGGTGGCTTCTCTTTTCTGAAAATGTCTCAGTGGTTGTCCTGAGACAATTCAGCCCCAACTCAATGTCCAGGGCTGGATGCTCCTTTTGCTCAGCACTGCTAGCCGAGGGATGGCCAGATTCCAATTGTGAGACTAATTCTTGGTCTCAACCAAGACAGAAAACTAGAATCTCAATTGAGAGGCATTAAGATGGTGGCTGAAGATGGGATCTCCAGATTTAGCAAATAAAAATACAAGACACCCAGTTAAATTTGAATTTTAGATAAACAAGAGATAATTTTTGAGTATATGTAGTTTATCCCCTCATTCGAGAGATACCACAACCGATGGTGAATTGCAGTATTGGTGACCGGAGTAACAGAGCATTTGGGTGAGGAGAGCTGAGCAGCGTACCAGGTCAAGACCAGCTCAGAAGTGATCAGGAAATGGAGGTTCTGCCCTGACAACCCCCTTTAACCTGGTAGCTGAACACAGTTGCTTTAAGGGGCAGTAATCAAGGCAGTAAAGGCCAAGTGGAAATTCCAAAGTATAAGCTACATTGTGCTCCAAGCTGGCCAATGGTGCAACACACAGCCCCAGGGGCTGGCCAGAGGACTCCGTGTCTTGGTGATGTCCAGGATATCGATTTCCTCTGGGTAGATTTCATCCTTTTCCTTGCATTCATGCAACATATTTTTATTGAGCATCTATTATGAGCTAGGCACTAAAATAGTTGCTACTGATACAACAGTAAGCAAATACAGACCTGATCCTTGCCTTCCAACAAAAATACTTGTGTTACGGGGCGCCTGGGTGGCTCAGTCAGTTAGGCGACCGCCTTCGGCCCAGGTCATGATCCTGGAGTCCCGGGATTGAGTGCACATCGGGCTCCCTGCTCGGCGGGGAGTCTGCTTCTCCCTCTGACCCTCCCCCCTCTCATGCTCTGTCTCATTCTCTCTCTCAAATAAATAAATAAAAATCTTTAAAATAAAAATAAATAAATAAATAAACTTGTGTTCTTCTTGGGGCACCTGGGCGGCTGAGTCATTAAGCGTCTGCCTTCGGCTCAGGTCATGATCCTAGGGTCCTGGGATTGAGCCCCGCATCGGGCTCCCTGCTCAGCGGGAGGCCTGCTTCTCCCTCTCCCACTCCCCCTGCTTGTGTTCCCTCTCTTGCTCTCTGTCAAATAAATAAGTAAAATCTTAAAAAAAAAAATAACTTTTCTTCTTTCTTCCTCCATTGTAAAACTCCTCCTGACCAATAAATCACGGATTGTAAACAAGCCTCCTGGGCTGTTTGTTGCAAGGGAAGCTATGAAGTCCTGTATCCCATTTCCTTATAGAGCCTCAGTCATTCCCTTGGGGACAGGAGATCATGGTATAAAAGGTGGTTGATCCTGTCAACCGATCTTGCAGCAGGTAAAAAGCTGATAGGACAGGTCCAGTTTCAGGGGCTGACGGGAGGGTTTAGGGACGCTCCAAGGAGAGATTCTTTGCCACGAGTTTCACAGGAGATACCATCCTTCCTATCACTTTTGAATTCAGCGTTAGATCTTAGGCTCAAGTAGGGTTTTCTTCTATGCTATTTATAAAATGTAAGTGTCAAGGTTCATGCTTGGAGGTTTTGAAGAACAGAGGGGGGGAGTAAAATGCCAGAAACACATGAATTTCAGGAACTGACAAACCACCAAGAGATTTATCCTGAGAAAGTAATTCAACTGAAAAAAAAACTAAAAGCTCTGAATATGTTACTTGCAAAACTATCTATAGTACTAAAAAGTAGGAAATCATACAAATGTCCAACAGTAATATTGAGTTCATTATATTGCATCCCTGGATAATGGTTAAAACTAGATAGAGGAAAAGCACTTATGACAAACTAAAAGGAGCAAAACTCAAAAATTGTCTAGATGCTACGATTATATCTATGTAAACCATTTAAATGAATACATAAAATTCATGTTTTTATATGTTTATAGAAATGCACAGTAATAAAGTAGCACTTAAGATAGCAAAATATAGCCTTTTCCTTTGCTGTTATTTATATATTTCTATAAAGTGTAAAAGGAGTTTAAAAAGAAAAATATAAGGTGGGGGAAGAAGAGCTGAGTGACTACATATTTCTGTTAGGATTAGGATATTTTAAGTTGCAAGTTACAGAAGATGTAACTCCACATGGTTTTAAAAAATAAAGGGGACTGGCGTGCCTGGGTGGCTCAGTCAGTTAAGCATCCAACTCTTGATTTCAGCTCAGGTGCCTTGGCAGAGTCTGCTTGGGATTCTCTCTCCCCCTCTCCACTACCCCACCTCCTGCTCGTGCTCTCTCTAAAATAAATATAAAATCTTAAAGAAAATAAAGGGCACTTTTGGCTCACCTGTGAAGTCCAGAGGTGGTGTGAGCTTCAGGTACAGTTTGCTCAGGGCTCTGACTTCATTTCTCTGTGCCTCTCTCAGGTCTGCCCTCCCCAGTGCGTAGGCTTCATCCTTGGACTGGCTTTCCTCCTAGTCCCAAGATAAGAGAAGTGAAGTTACAGGCTTCCTCTTTAATATCTTTATTCAATCTAGAGGAGAGGAGGCACCATTGAACGGGAATCCTAGCTTCATTCTAACTGGGTCCCTTGCATTTCAGAGGCTGGCTTTTGTTTTGAAAAATTATTGTGATAAGGAAGGACAGGATTATCCTGATTGGCTGATACCAATTAAGTCCCACCCCTAGAGCTGGGGGTAGTTCAATCCTACCCTAAGAGCACAGTAAGGAGGTGTGTGGCTTACATGTTGAGTAGGAAACCTCAGTGTCCATTGAACCATGTATGTGCACAAGAGAGTCATGACAAGCTGGGATGTGAGTTAGAAGGCAGTTGAGAATTTGATAAATACATCATGCCTTGGCTACATACTTTAAGTGTCCCCCTTCCCTTTTTTATTTTTTTTAAATATTTTATTTATTTATTTGACAGAGAGAGACATAGCGAGAGCAGGAACACAAGCAGGGGGGGTGGGGGAGGGAGAAGCAGGCTTCACGCTGAGCAAGGAGCCCGATGCGGCGCTTGATCCCAGGACCCTGGGATCATGACCTGAGCCGAAGGCAGACTCCCAACGACTGAGCCACCCAGGTGCCCCCCACCTTCTGAAATGATCTCAGCCATCACAGGGAGAAATTCCAGATGAATTAAAGATAAAAGTATAAATCAACTAGAAGAAAATATTGGAGAATATATTTGTGAATTTGTGTGTATCTGTGTGTGTAATTTTGGAGTAAAGAATACCTTTTTAAGTAAGATTTTTTTAAAGGCCACAAAAGAAAAGGCTGATAAATGTATTTCAGAATTTAAAATCTCTGTATGACAAAGACACCATGAGCCAAGTTAACAGATATGTAATGTATGGAAGAAAATATCTGGAATTCATGTCAGAGACAAAGGATTAATATTCAGAATGTGATAGAGAATATCTATTTCTACCTTTTAGTAATAACAACCTACCAAGTGTTAGCTGAACACAGGGCAACACAGCCAGAGGCTACATTTCCCGGCTCCCCTTTGGCCATGTGACTAAGGTTCTGCAGGTGGGATCTGAGCAGGAAAAGCTAAGTACAACCTACAAGTTCCATTTTCAAGGGTAAACAGCCTTTCTTTCCTTTCCTTCTTTCCGCTTTCTCAGCGGCTCGAAGGTATTGACCTTGGGGCAAGGATACCATCCTAGTGTTGTGACTCCAAACTGTGCACAAAGTGCCCGGGTGCGCTGCAGAGAACTCAGAGGGGAGCAGTGGGATATCTTAACAGTTTGAGGAAATGAAGCTACATCTGTGTCATACATGGCATGATAGCTTGAACTAGTTCACATTTTCAACGTGAGATCACTAAATTCCTGACAGCACATCTTTGAGAGGATGTATTTAGGAAGCAATTGCCACTGGAATATCTAGGTTGAGCAAGAAATGAGAATGTTGTTTCCAATCTGATTTTAAAGTTTGATAAATTGTGCCAAGGGTGCTAAGTTGTTAGGGCATAAATATTTATGAAACTGTTTAGAGCTCCTTATTTAATAGAAGGGATTGTTATTCTTTTGGCCGAGGAGCTGTGAAAAAATTTCTAAGACACGTAAGGGTGCTGTGTACAGAGAAAGTTTGGGAATTTGTGCCTAGTGGTGGAGAACAAGATAGGAAGAATCTGGGTCCTCATGTGATCTTGTGGATCTCCTGGAACAGAACTGCCTACTGCTGCTGGACTGCCAACTACCTCTGGACTATAGACTTCTTTCCTATCAAAGCCATCATGTTTGGGGATCTCTCTGTTACAACAGCATACAGACAAGGTAGGTGTTCTGCCTATATCCCCACAGCCCACCAGAGAGGTTACCTGTACATGCTGATGGTTTCCTGACTCTGCCTGAGACGGTTCTCCGCTTGGGGCTGGGCTGGCCTCTGTGTGGGCAGGCCAGAAAGACCAGGGAGTTACTGCCCCAGAAGTGGTTGGGCGAAGACCCCTGCTGCGTTGTCTCTCAGTGGAACAATTCTGAGGCATAGTCTATGGAGCCTCTCAGAGGATCCCTGGTGGGACTGAGCCCCAAACGGCCACCTATAATCATCAACATCTGCTTTCTTGGCTTTCTACTCTTCTCTCACTTTCCCAATCCCTCACCCTGTTTCCTGGGAATATCTCCAAAAACAAGCTATTTATACCAAATCCTTGTCTTGGAGTTTGCTTTTTTTGGGGGGGGATACCTAAACTAAGAGAAGCAGCTAGTCCGTACCTTAACAAATACATAAAATATGTAAGTAAGTACTGGAAAGCAGCAAGAAAATGGTAAACAACTCAAATAAAAACGGCAAAGGATAATTGTAAGCAACTCACAATAGAGGAAAGATAATTGGCCAATAAACACATAAGATGTTCATCACTAGGAACTGGCCAGTGGTAATTAAGATAGCCCAGCACAGTAATTGAGAACACCAACTGAGTCTTAGTCCAGTGGTCTGAGTTTGAATCATGGCTCTAATACTTTCTAGCTCTATGTCCCTAGGAAAATTATATAACTTCTCTGTGCCTCTATTTCCTCATCTATAAAAGTGGTATAATAATAATAATAATACTTCTCTCACTGAGTTCCTATAAAGATTAAATGATAAATACTTAAAAATTTTTTAAGTGCTGGGCGCCTAGGTGGCTCAGTTGGTTAAGCGACTGCCTTCAGCTCAGGTCATGATCCTGGAGTCCCTGGATCGAGTCCCACATCGGGCTCCCTGCTCGGCAGGGAGTCTGCTTCTCCCTCTGACCCTCCCCCCTCTCATGTGTTCTCTCTCATTCTCTCTCTCTCAAATAAATAAATAAAATCTTAAAAAAAAAGAATCTGTTAAAAAAAAATTTTTTTTAAGTGCTTAGAACAGTACCTGGAACACAGGTATCACTATGTAAATGTCTGTTAAGCAAATAAATAAATAAAATGTCATTTCATCCATCAGAATGGTAAATACTAAAGGAACTGATTTATTAAATGTTGGCAAGGGTTTGGAGAGACAGACTCGCTCAGATATTTGTGGCTGAAGAGCAATTTAATAGTATTTATTAAAATTAAAATGCCTATATGTTCTTTGGCTCGGGAATTCTATGTCATGTGGCTGCCCTAGAAAAATACACCTACTTGTGTGTAATGAACCTCATTCAGGTATTTCCACTGCAGCATTGTTTGTAATAGCAAAAACTGGAATGAACTTAAATGTTGAGCAATAGAACAGTAACAATGCAAACTGGGCCCTTGGGCTAAATCTGTCCTGCAGGTATGTTCTGCTTAGTCTGAACAGTGTTTTAAAATCCTGGATTAGGGGCGCCGGGGTGGCTCAGTTGTTAAGCGTCTGCCTTCGGCTCAGGTCATGATCCCAGGGTCCTGGGATCAAGCCCCGCATCGGGCTCCCTGCTCCGCGGGAAGCCTGCCTCTCCCTCTCCCACTCCCCCTGCTTGTGTTCCCTCTCTCGCTGTGTCTCTGTCAAATAAATAAAATCTTTAAAAAATTAAATTAAATTAAGAATCCTGGATTAGTTGCCAACATTACAAAAATTAGATTTACGTTATAAAAATCCAGATTTTCAAATACTCTTAAAACACTGGGATTCAAAGGGTGCCTGGGTGGCTCAGTTGGTTGAGTGTCCCTCTCTTGGTTTCAGCTCAGGTCATGATCTCGGGGCCCCGCGTCGGGTTCTATCAGCTTGAAGTATGCTTGAGATTCTCTCTCTCCCTCTGCCTCTCCCCTCACTTGCTCTTTCTCTGTCTCTAAAATAAAATCTTTAAAAAAAACACAAAAAACACTGGAATTCAAGTTAACAATCCTGTGGTCTGCGGAAATAGCTATTTCTGCCCACAACAAGATACATCTGCTCCACGTTGTCACTTTACTTACTACCTGCAGAGCCCCTGTAGGCAGTGGAATGTGGGGCCCTGGCAGATGAGCTGTGGCTCAGCTATGTAATGAAATGTCTATAATGAGGTAAAAACAATATAGTAGATACACATGTGGAAAGATCACCAAGACTGAAAAAGAAAAAAACAAAAAAGGAAGATGGAGGACCACTATGTATGATGCCATTTCTGCAAACAACAACAAATTATATATTTGTATATATACACTAGAATGTAAACTATAAAGTTCAGGAATTTTTCTGTTTTATTGCTGTATTCCCCGTGCCTAGAATAGTGCCTGGCATACACTGGGTACTCAGTATATATTTGTTGAATATTTATGAATAAATGTATAAAAGAATTTTGGAAGGACACATAGTAAATAAGTGATTAATTTTGTCAAGGGACTGGGATTTGGGGATGGTGTCCAAGGAACTGTTTTGTATAATTTGATTTTTTTTTTTTTACAAGAACAGTGTTGTAGTACTTGTGTACATTTAAAAACAATTAGACAACCCAGCACAAAATGCCATAGGTGATCAAACCCAGATTCAAAGTTAAGTCTCAACTGAAACCATCCGGAGAAAAATGAATGGGGATAAAAATAAAGTTCTGCATTTATGAGCCAAAAAAAAGTAACCCAAAATACTTAACCATCAGCTCAGAATTAATCAGCAGGGTGATGAGTCAGCTGGAGACACTGATGTGATCCAGCCCACTCTGGATGTGGGATGAGGTTCCATCCATAACCACAGTCTTCCCTGGTGGCCTCACAGCTTCTGATTTCAGGCTTTTGTTTTTTCAATTCTGTGTCCACGAGTTCATGAAGGCTTTGCACACCATGTACCAGAAGGCGCCCAGCTTGTAAGTTTCTTAAAAAGGAAAAAGAGAAGGAATCAAGAAGCTGGGGTAGGTCGCAAAGACAAAAAAAGAGAAGAGCTTGAAAGCCAGTGTTTGGAGATCAGACGGTTCCCCTCAAAGGGAAGACAAGCCTGATAGATTTTCAGAGGCATCAAGAATAGACTGGTCTCCGCGGATTCAGAGGTGTTCGGAGCAAAGGAACACCCCACAGGGGACTTCTCAATGCTATGTTTGGAAGCAGCTCTTCTCACCCCAGGTTCAACTATCATTAAACAGCCTTCCTTCTTATCCTCCAGGTTTGGAGTCAAGCAATTGTCACTGTTCCCAGGGGCGGGATGTTCAGAGCTGTTCCGAGACAGCAGGAGCAAAGACACTGGAACGGGTCGGACGGATCCCAACTGTGTGGTTAGCAGAAAGCAAAGCAAGTCCTGCCCATCGCGAAGATTCAGTATAGGAGCCCCAAGTGTCCCGCCATGGGCCAGCCGGGCTCCCCGCTTGGCTCGGCCCGCTTTACAACGCCCGCACTGACTTAGGACGGTCTTTTTGTAAGATTTTCTGGCAACTGTGCTGCAAGGCTCGATTTTCGGCCCCCAGACCCGACCACCCCTTCTGAAGCGGCCAAGGCGCGGAGCCAGAGACACCAGCAGAACGCGACCACCAGCCGCGAGCCCCGCCCCCAGCTGCCGCCCGCCCTTCCGCCCGCCCTTTCCGCCGGAAGCCGGCCTGGCTGCCAGCGTCGCGTGCTATCGTCACAGGCCCGCCGGAAGTCTAAAGAAGCGCCCTGAAGGCGCCGCCTCGGAGCGGCCGGCGGTTGGCCATCCCGACGGTAAGGCCGCCTCCGAGGGGTTTTTTTTGGCACCCACTGGCCCAGGGGCGTCTGTCTCCTTGTCTGATCCGCCCTTCCACCTTGCGTGTGTGTGTGTGTGTGGGGGGTGTCGCAGCCCCACCTCCACCCCGCCGGGTGCTCAGGCACCCCCCGTATCCCCTCTGCGCCTTCTGCACCCCGTCCCCCACCCAGGGTCCCGGCCCCCGGGGAAAGCTCCGGCGAGGCCCATCCGCCGGGACCCTCAGATGGTGTGGCCTCGGATAAGCCTTTCTGTCTGGTGGCCAGCGTGGGCACCTCAGGGATTAGTGATAGGAACTGGGACCCCAGGCTCCTGGCTTAATCTTCCCCGTTAGCTTTTCCTCCCGAAATCCTATAACCCCGTTCACCCCGCGGGATCTCAGCATCCCCCAACTTTCAAATTATTTTTCACAATTTATACCGCCCCTGACTCCCACCCTGTTTTATTGTATGAGTGTTTTATCGATGTCTCTGCAGCCAGATCCAGCCTTCTAGAAGAACCATGCCTCCTGCAGCTTTGGGAGGCACCCGATGTGCCAGGCACACGCCGCTGCACAGGAGGAGATGCCGTTTGAATTCTCCGTGAATGTTGGGAGGAGGAATGCCCGAGCTGCCGGTAGAAAATTATCCAAACGAGAAATACGTAGGCTGGGGACCCTGAATCACCTCGTGAGAATTGCTGCTCTTTGTTTCCTCTGTCTTATCTCGTGAATAGTTTGTAGTTTGGTTATCTCAGTTGGAAGTCCGGCCCGGAATCCTATCTGCCAAGGCCAAAAGTAACCGTTTCCAGTTAATACAGACCTGTGTGTTGACTCTGATCCCCGTGGGTGATCCACGATTGTTGTGGGAGTGAGTCCCTCCCGCCCCCGGGCCCCCCACTGCCTCTGGGGGATGCTTGTTCCAGTAGCATTGTCAGCAGATTCTTTTGGGTACATTCTGTATCAGTATCTACCGGGGTTTATATTTAAGTAAGTACAAAGATGATTTGTTGCTGGTGGGAGGGAAGATGTATGCATTTTGCGTATTTTCCATTTTAAATTTTTGGAATTTGCAGGCAGGAGATGCCCTAAATAAATCACAGTGGTTTGATTAGGAAACTCTTGAGGGAGAGAGAACTCAGGACCATCTGGGAGGCCTCAGCGCAAAGCAGTGTGTGCATAAGGGCTGATGAATTCTGTTTGGGGAGCTGTTTATGGAGTTGATGTCTGAGAATACGCACCATGGAACACATCCCTCAGTAGTAGTCACACTCTTTCTGTTTCTTTGTAGCACCAGGATGGACTTCTTGGTTCTCTTCTTCTTCTACCTGGCTTTGGTGCTCATTGGTGTTGTTATGATATGCATCTGCTCAAAAACCCATTACCTGAAAGGCCTGGTCAGAGGGGGAGCACAGGTAATGATGCTTAGAGACCACTGGGTTTTGACTACCACCAGTCTAAAAGGCTCATCAGTTCCCTGACGGAACAAAAAACAGATGCCATTTTTATTATTTGTTCACTTCTTTCGTTTATGGTAGTTATGGTACATTCAGAAGTCTCTGTTTTTTGTTAATGTTGAAAGTAATCTTGTGATTTGCTTTGAGAGAAGATAACATTCTCAAGGTTGGCTATTTTTTCTTTGAATTTGATGCCTGTACTTGGGCCTGGATGAAAATATTTCACAGAAATATTTAAAGAGTGGCAATATTACATGCATTTCTATAAAAAGAGATATATCCTGTTACCTCAGTGTCTGCCTGGAGGGGCCTGATGGGTGGAACGGGGGGCTGTATGACTAGGGAGCTGAACATCAGGCTGCCCACACTCCTTCAGGGGTCAAAGTGAGCAGAATTGGGGTCAGCAGCCTTTGGGAAGGGGTGGACTTGGGAGTGACCTGGGCTAATGCCCAGTGATTGCAGATGGACTCTGGAACCTAGGATTGAACCCAAGGCAGGGAAAGGAGTGGAGTTCACATTAACATTACCTAATCCAGCCCCTCTGCTCTCCTCCCTTTGCCTGAAGACCCTGACATGGTGCTTTCTTTGGAGCTAGGGTGGAAAGGGAGGAGCTGGTATCAAAGGAAGACTAGTTGAGGGAAACCCTGCATTTTATTCTCTCTTAAATCTCTTCTCTGCCCGTATGCAGAAACACAAATCCCCAGGATCGCCAGCTAAAGTGAAGCATCTAATTTGTTTGGGAGTGGGGGGAATGAGAAATGACATTGAATCCTTCTCTTTTGTTTTAGATAATTTCCTATATAATTCCAGAATGCCTTCAGAGAGCAGTGCTAAAATTGCTTCATTATCTCTTCCATACACGGTATTTATATTTCAGAGTTTAAATACTATCTTCTTTTCGGGGCGTCCGGGGTGGCTCAGTCGGTTAAGTGACCAAACTCTTGGTTTCGGCTCAGGTTGTGATTTCAGGGTCATGAGATTGACTCCCAAGTCGGGCTCCTTGCCGGGCATGGGGCCTGCTTAAGATTCTCTCTCTCCCTCTTTTCCGCCCCTTCCCCTGCTCGTGCACTCTCTCTCTCCGCCCCCCTCTCTCAATAAATAAATAAAATCTTTAAAAAAATAATAAAAATATAAATATTATCTTCTTTTCTGTTTTGATTATTAATTGTTGCTGTCCCCTAGCTTCAGGATGCTCCTTGTTGGTTTCCAGCCGTAGTTCGGGGAAGGAGGCTGGAAAGGATCAAGAGTCCTGGGTTCAGGACCTCTGCTCATAAATAATCTGCCTTTTATTTCTGGAGTTTTCACAGAAATATTTAAAGAGTGGCAATATTACGTGCATTTCTATAAAAAGAGATATATCCTGATACCTCAATCCCCAAAAAAGATAATAGGGGCACCTGGGTGGCTCATTCGGTTGAGCCATTCAGCTCTTGATTTCGGTTCAGGTCATGATCTTGGGGTTGTGGGATTGAACCCCAATTTGAGCTCCTGGCTCAGCGTGGAGTCTGCTTGAGATTCTCTCTCTCCCTCTGCCCCTCCCCCTGCTCTTATGCGCTTGTGCTCTCTCTCGGAATAATTAAAATCCTAAAAAATAAAGTTAATAATAATAGATAATATCTATTGAGTACTGAGTATTTCGAGGCACTGTGAGAACTGTCTCATATTGTCTCTTACGTAATTCTTGCTATTATCTCAAGCCCAAAGGAAGTGGTTGGCCCTGGGTTAACTTTAGTATGACATGATTTCTTCTTGGAGAAGGCCTTGTGAACAAGCCACGTGCCTTTTTCCTTTCAGAAACCACACCTTCATTCTCCTGCACCTCATCTTGCAAGGGATGGTTTACAGTGAATACACCTGGGAAATATTTGACTACTGTCAAGAGCTGGAGTTCTCCTTGCATTACCTTCTTCTGCCCTATCTGCTGCTGATTGTAAACCTCGTGTTTTTCATTCTCAGCTGTGTGAGCAACCCTGGTAAGTTGAGGCTCTTAGTATGGAGACTGGCAACAACTCAACCGTCCGTCTTACAGTGTTACAGACTAGTGATCCCCCTGGGGACTTTGTAAAAGATGTGATACGCGGTGTTACCATCTTCTCATTGTGATTGTCTTCTAATTTTATTTTTTTCTTCTTTGACCCATGGCTTATTTAAAACTGCTTAAAATTTTCTATATACTTTTTTAGTTTATTTTTTGATGCTTTCACTAATTGTGTTATATAGAGAGTTTGTGGTGTCTATGGCACTGTTTCTTTCAAAAATTTTATTGATATTTGCATCATGCCCGGTTATGTGTTGTTTTTTAAGTGATCTGTGTGGGCTTGGAAGTATATATTTTTTAGTTCTTGGGTGTAGACAGCATGTGAGTCCATTAAATTAAGTTTGTTAATTATGTTCAAATCTTTTATATTCACCCTAATTTTTTTGTTTACAATAACTGAGAGAGGTATGTTATCTCATTCTGATGATAGATTTGAGGTTTCTCCTTATAGTCAGTTTTGGCTTTACTTATTTTGAAGCTATTTTATATGTGTATGTATATGTAGGTGTATATAATAGTTATGTATATATTTATATTATATGCATTCAAGTTTAGAATTGGTATTCTCTTTTCCTTGAATCTTTTTCAAAATATAATGAGCCTCTTTGTCACTAGTAATGCTCTTTGCTCTCAATTCTCTTTTGTCTGATGTTAATATTATTACACTTTTTTTTTTAAGAGGGAGAGAGGGTTGGGGAAGAAGTGGAAAGGGTGAGGGAGAGGGAGAGAGCGGATCTTAAGCAGGTTCAATGCCCAGCACAGAGCTGAACGCAAGGCTCGATCTCACAACCCTGAGACCATGACCTGAGCTGGTATCAGGAGTCCGATGCTTAACCGACTGAGCCACCCAGGTGCCCGTTACCCTTTTTTTGATTCATGTTTGCTTGGTATCTTTTTTCCATGCCTTTACTTTTAAGCTTTTCTATCCTTGAAGCACCAGCTGCCCATCAACTGACGAATAGGTGAATGTGATGTGCCTATTCAATGGAACAGTATTTGGCAACAGGAAGGAACGAAGGAGTGATATGTGCTAGAACTTAGAGGAACCTTGAAAAACGATGCTAAGTGAAAGAAGGCAGATACAAAAGACCACAAGTTGTATGATTCCATTTATAAGAAATATCCAAACAAGGCAAATGCATGGAGACAGAAAATAGATTAATGATTGCCAAGGGCTGGGATTCGAGAGAAATGGGGGGTGACTGCTAAGGGTTTCTTTCTGAAGTGATAAAAATGTTCTAAAATTGATTGCAGTGATGGTTGCCTAACTCTGTGAATGTACTAAAAACTATTGAATTGTGCACTTTAAATGGGTGAATTGGGCTTATGAATTGTATCTCAGTAAAGCTGTTTATTTTTA